CTCTCTATCTATCTATCTCTCCCTCCCTCTCTTCCCCCCACTCTCTTCCCCCCTTCACTCTCTTTTCCCTGTCTTTTTATCTCTCTCTTCGCTCCCTCACTCTCTCTTTCTCTGTCCCTTTATATCTCTCTCTCTTTTTTCTATTAATCACTTTCTCCTCCTTGACCAGCTCCTTTCTCTTTTCCTCTCCTTATCTGCCTCTCACCCTCCCTACCTCCCTCTTTCCGGCTCCGTACTTCCCTTCACCCCACCTCTCCCTACCCCCTTTTCCTCCTCCGTTTTTAGGAAAAAATTAAAATTTTGTAAAACCAGTGTTCAACAGACAGGTGTATTGCATGTAGGGCACATACAGTATTGATTTGTGAATTGTTCCGTGCTGATGAACATAAAGTAGACGGATAGAATTTTTTAGTATTTCATGTGGATCAGTGGTAAAGAGAATGGTTTAATGTACATGTATATCCATGTCTACTTCGGGTGTTTCCATTCTGCTATACAATAAAATACGGGAAAAGTTTCTGCAGCCCGATAGTGTATTAATCGTGGATCATTTTATCTGGTTTTGGGGGTAATGCAAAATTCTTGTTTCGGAACTACATCATATTTTCCCCCACCATCTGGTTTTCCTCTTCCTTTTGCTTTTCTTCTTCCCCCTCGTCTTCCCCCTCTTCCTCTTCCTCCTCCTCCTCCTCCTCCTCCTCCTCCTCCTCCTCCTCCTCCTCATCCTCGGAGAACACAAGTATACAAAAATTACGAAAACGTCAATGCGAAGAAATTCTTGTCGATGTACGAAGATAGGTAGGTCTACGTAGAAAGGAGTGGAGGGGGCACAGAGTGAGAGTGGGTAAGACTTTTAAGTTCTTAATTTTGCTCGGCTTTCGTGTAAGCCTAACTGTTCAAAGAAGCTCTGTCACGTTTTAAGTTGATTATGATCAGAGTTGCAGTAGAACACTACCTTCCAGGAGTGCAATAAAACAGAAACAGCGACTGTGATTTTTGAGCGCTCGTGGTGTCATTCCTTGCTTTGGCAATGCGGTTTCTGTATTATACCAAAGATCGTACGTATGTTCGATCTTTCATTATACTCAAAGGCAGAAATTCAGGAAAAAAAATATTATGCAACATTTGACGCCAAGCACAGACATAAAAAGGGGCGAACGTTTTGCCACTTTTCTAGGGGGAGGGGGAGGGGGGATGGAGATCTTCAAGTTCAAAGCATGTTTCAGTTCCATTTCTCGTGTTTAGCTACTTCGTCTATGATTCATTTAACAGCAGGTAACCTCGATTCACAGAACAGTTTCCAGATCTTACGTGGGGAATCGAGTTCACTACCTTTATCGGTGTGCAAACATTTCAGATCTGATCGACCAGGAGATCTTACAATCATTCTCTACCATACATACATTTTACTCTTAACCTCCCCCCTCCCCACACATACACAGACACACAGACACACATACACACACACACACACACACACACACACACACACACACACACACACACACACACACACACAGCCCCAACTTACAAACATACGAATATATACAATCTTTTTTTCGTTATCTGTTTTTTTTTCTGAGTAGTGTCCCCCGCTCTCTCTCTCTCTCTCTCCCTCTCTCTCTCTCTCTCTCTCTCTCTCTCTCTCTCTCTCTCTCTTTCTCTCTCTCTCTCTCCTTCTGTGTCACTCACTTTCTCTCTATCTCTCTGCTATCCCTCCCCCACCCCCTCTCTCTCTATCTCTCCCCCCTTCTCTCTCTCTCTGCCCCCCTCCTCTCTCTCTCTCTCTCTCTCTCTCTCTCTCTCTCTCTCTCTCTCTCTCTCTCTCTCTCTGCTACTTTCTTCCTCTCTCTGCTTCCCTCTCTTTTTCATTCTTTTCCCTATTCTTTCTCTCTTTATCTCTTTTAATGACCCCCACCTCCTCATAAATTTACCCCCCTGACGACGTAAGTAGCTAAAGGCAGCAAAAGCTTTAAGTAAAAGCCGACTACGTTATCTTCCATTATCCTGGGTCATAAACCTCTGGAAAGATTGGAATAAAATCGAGACACCTTCACGTATGATGTTGGATGCGGTAATGACTTTAATGGCGGGGCATTCTGTGGTTGCTGGGAAAACAAACGCACTTTTGTCAACATAATGGATGGCACTGGAATTTCCATATTACTGGCTGTCTGCACATCTAAAAAACATGCATACTTCTCTCTGAGTTCAAAAGATTTGCTGCAGTTTAAACTTTGGCAGGAAAATTATATAATATAGGACAACAAAAGCCCTGGTAGTCTCAATTATAACAGAAAATATACGGGAACATCTTTGACGAAAATATACCGTGTTCATACCAACTGACAATATCAGTTTGTTGTTTCTGTTGGAGGTGAACATAATAATTGTTTCCAAGTATTGCAAACGGCCATGCCAACTGCTGTATTCATATGATCTGTCTAGTTGGTGGTCCGGGCGCTAGACTTTAGCATCGCTTTCCCCTCAAAATGATGATGATGATAATGATGATGATGATAATGATGATATCATCCAGTGCCAGATCTGCGACAGACATCGGCGATCGTGGTTCTCCATTCTTTTCCTTGCTTGGAAGCTTTTAAAAAAGCTACGTTTCCCTCATCTTTCCCTGTTACCCATTTGTTTGGGTTTCCTAGGTAAGTTGCTCTGGGCTTACCCCTGCCTCGTCTGCCTTCAATTTTGCCAGTGAGAGCTAGATGTTCAAGACCCTATGTCTATTCAGGTGTCCCCAAAGCTGCATTTGTCATTTCCTGATTGTTTTTAACAGTGAGCGTCCCACGTGGGCTTCATCAAGCACTATCTCATTTGATTTCTTATCCTTCCACGATACTCTCAGTAGTCTCCAAAGAAACCACATTTTTGTAGCTTCTATTTTATTTTCTCTGTCTTTAGTGATTGTC